CGATGTCGAGCCCCTTCCATACGTCCTCTACAACCTTGACCCATTCCGTGGGTTGTCTACCCCTCTTTTTGTTTGCCCACTTCGCCTCCCATACAATTCTCGGCAACCTCTCCTCTCCCATCCCGCACATGCGATACTGCCAGGTCAGCTTCCTCGCGTCTCTTCCCGACCGTAGGGATTGGATCCCCAATTCTGCCCTCACGGCTGCATTACTTGTGCGCTTGGAGCATCCTCGGATGATTTTCGCTGCTTTCATCTGCGCCGCCTCGAGTTCTTTCACTACCTTCTTATTTCCTTCCCATACTTCTCCGGCGTACTCTAGCGGCGGTACGATTACGCTCTTCAAAACCGTCAATTTGATGTGTGTATCGAGGTTAAGCGCGGGGGGGGGGTATTGGACTCACCCATTGAACCCCCTGGGCGAAAGCTCCCAATGTTGTGAACGTGCTGCAGCCGATGAATATCCCGCTCTTGGAGGAAAGGTCACCGGGCAAGGCCGTCCCAAAGAAACACAACCGGAGCGCGTTCGCATGCAGCCAGGCGGTAGGTGGGACACAGCAGTAAGAAGCCGCTACATATGTATACTTCGAAGTACTTGTCAAATTACTGGTACTTTGGCGAAGACACCAGCTGGTTGCCCGTGACAGCCAAAGCTTCTCAACGGCCACAACAAACATGCAGCTGAGCGACGTAAACATGATGGGCGCTCGAAGTCACAAAACCACGTCAAAAATGTGACCATACGGTTTGCCGCTACAGCAGTACAGAGTCCGGCGATGGAATTGAAGTGCATGAAACGAGAGGAGGGGCTGATGTGGATGACAGAAATATTGCAAGAACAGATCCTTACTACAGTAGCGTTACGAGAACCATTGGAGTCGGGAGACCACGAATGGATGCACGGATCTCTCACATACCGCTTGCTGGCGTCATGAGCAGGCTGAACGCTTGTGACGCCGCCCAGCTCACGCTTTTTGTAGTCTTTCTCTCCTTTCCATCGGAGAAAGTCAGCCCGCCCCCAGCAGTGGACTAAAACTACTACGACCCTTCCGCCACGCCGCCTGCTACGGCATGAGCCTAAATCGCCAACAAAAGCAAAGGCGAGTGAAAGCAAAAAGCAAGCCTCACCACCAACTCCGAGCACTGGATCCGAAGCAAATAAAGCCCGTAGCATGGCTGAATGAAAAATCAATCCGACGCCCATCCGGGTGGGTCACCGCAGGGGAAGCAGCATCGCCGGACCGCCGTTGCCAAGCGCCGAGGAGAGGTGTAGGGAGGGAGGAAGGCCGGGAGTCAAATGAAATGAAACTGCAGGCCCAAAAAAAAGCTGTCTTGTGGAACTACTCTGCATAGCGATCAGCTACATTGTTTTGTGCCTAAGGTGGGCCCAACGATCTGGGATGCGGCGGAAGGTGACTCCGAAAGCATGAGGAGGTACAGTAGTTCCTCGCTCAGTGCAGAGAGATGGGAACCGAGGTTAGGCCTTCGGAATGAGGTGCACATGGCGACGTCCGCAGACAATTGCTCTCCCTCTTTTGCTGTACACGCCAATGGGGACAGCCGCGTTTCGAATGGGGACACTATAGTGTATGCGAGAATAACAAGAGCGTGTCTTCCTACGCATATCGCCGGTGTTGAGGCGAGGCATACGATGCAGGATGCAGAAAAACAGTAGCAGCAGCAGCAGTCGGGCGCATACCCGAACGCGAGAATGGCTGTTGCGATAACTCAATGTCAGTCATCCGTATCTGTACTGCAGTACCTCGAGCGCCATTGCCAGACATCTTATAATTAAGATGACAAGCAACAGGTCTCTACCATCAATGTACGCGTATGCATACAGCAGTATATACACTCGAGAGCACGTATTTATTTGCGCCTTTGTGCAGACACGATATGCATCTAGGAGGCAAGCGGAGACAGAAGGATTCTGTTGTAGGGCCTCCACATTCACGCAACCAATCCCAACAATAGGGCAGTGGGGGTTCAGGCATGGATAAGTAGCCTTGCGACTTAAAAGAGGCCAGCCGACAACGGGCGCTCAAACGAAACCACAAGCCACGAACCAATGGGGCGGGAGGGGGGCAAGAGACGGACGAGGTGGCGAGGGAAGAAAGCAAACGAGAAGAGAAGGGCCGAGTGGCGCGATACGTGCCGGATAAGAAATTCCCCCCCCCAACGCTGCACATTGCACCAACCTCCCACTAGTGATGACGTACCACAACAATGCATCGCTGGTTGGTGGCCATGTTTGCGTGTTTGCTTGTTCGTTAGTGGTCTCTCCGCCGTGTGCCGTTGTCTGTCTCTCATTTCTTGTTACTTTCGGCCTGGTCCCTTTTTGTCCTCGCTCTTTTTCATTTCATTTTCTCTTTCCTTACTGTTTCCTGTCATTTTGTTCTCTTTTTCTCTTTTTTTTTTCTCGTTTTCTGTGCCAGATGGCCTTGTCTCTGCTTGCGTTGTGCGTTGAAGTACCAAGATTGAACCAAGGGGGTGTACTTCTTTCTCTCCGGCCGAGATGGTGACTCCTAGTCTCAGTTGTTACACCTCGCATAGCGCGCAGAGGCAGTGGAGGACTCCAGAATATCTGTCGTTGATTTCTATTGACTTGCGGACCCCTCGCGGCCATTTTAATATATATTTTTTTAGAAGTGGCCCGATAGGAACGCTTTTTGTAAAAAAAAAAAACTGTTTAGAGGGGGGGGGGAAAACGGGCTCAAGTAAGTCTGTCTTCTGTCTGTCGGTGACCAGCCTCGATATATTACCCAGCAGATTCCAGCCCATTTCACCATCTCGGCACCAAATTGCAATCTAAGACGTCTTCACAACAAGTAATATTTTGCCCGATCTGCCCCGACTGCTACCTTTTCAATCCGTGCTCGGTGCGTCGGGATAGTGCAGCGTCGGTACCCAACTTGAAGCAGGGAAGTTTCTGGCCCCTTGCAACACCGAGAGGAGGCGTCGTTTGATTTTGAACCAAGACAGATAGCCTCGCACACCACACAACACACACAGAGCCAAACATGGACAAACAGGGAGCGGGAGACAGACCACAGCGAGGGCGAGCCGGCGGGAGAAGGGTGTGCCATACACTGCTGCTGTAGCTATCGTCGGAGGAAGCGAGAGGAGAGATCAACATTTGGTAGCAGCAGCAGCAGCAGCAGCAGCAGCAGCGGCCTCTCTCTCTCTCTTTCCGCGGAGAGAGGCACATGACACCAACAACACACAGACCACGCGCACTGGCGCCTCTCTACACATTTGTGCGCGAATGCCTGGTGTGCGACCAGTGCCTCCCGTGCTAGCCTGGTTACCCATCACACTCTTGAACGCTTGTGAGATTTCCCGATCAAAGCTCGGACCAACAAGCGAAGCACAACAGCAGAGACTTTTTTTTTTAAGCTGCTAACCCTATTTTTTAATATACCACACCCCTCCCTTCCCCCCGGAGTACACCTCCTTCCCCCCCGGTGATTGCCGTCGGGGTTGGGTTTTCGTCGATTGGCAACGACGTTGTAAAAAAAGTCCCCCCCTCGGTGTTCCCCCCCTGATGTTTGCCATCGGGGTTGGGTTTTCGTCGATTGGCAACGACGTTGTAAAAAAAGTCCCCCCCTCGGTGTTCCCCCCCTGATGTTTGCCATCGGGGTTGGGTTTTCGTCGATTGGCAACGACGTTGTAAAAAAAGTCCCCCCCTCGGTGTTCCCCCCCTGATGTTTGCCATCGGGGTTGGGTTTTCGTCGATTGGCAACGACGTTGTAAAAAAAGTCCCCCCCTCGGTGTTCCCCCCCTGATGTTTGCCATCGGGGTTGGGTTTTCGTCGCTTGGCAACGACGTTGTAAAACAAGCCGCCCCCCCCGGTGTTTGCCATCGGGATTGGGTTTTCGTCGCTTGGCAACGACGTTGTAAAACAAGCCGACCCCCCCGGTGTTTGCCATCGGGGTTGGGTTTTCGTCGCTTGGCAACGACGTTGTAAAACAAGCCGCCCCCCCCGGTGTTTGCCATCGGGATTGGGTTTTCGTCGCTTGGCAACGACGTTTTAAAACAAGTCGCCCCCCCCGGTGTTTGCCATCGGGGTTGGGTTTTCGTCGCTTCGCAACGACGTTGTAAAACAAGCCCCCCCCCCGGGTTTTTTTTTTTGGCGGTAACCATAATGGTGGCCGAGTAGATCATGTTGTGCGGGGTG